TGTTGATTAATCCTGCAGTCACTCACTGACGTCTTCCTCGTGTAAAAAAGCAAAACCCGAACTAACTTACTTTAGCGATCCTGTGGTTCAATATTTTTGAAACTAACTACAAAGTTTTTATTTTGCATCAGTTTTAATGTTCCCTCTAATAAATCTGTTTGTTGATTAATCCTGCGGTCRCTCACTGATGTCATCAGCTCATTTTCTGAGCCGCGGAACTGCAGGTTGCTTTTTCACAAGTCGGTCTGCTCGACTCGGGCCCGGCTCTGATACTACCTCACTTGGGCTCCGAGGGGCATCAGGGGTGGGCTCGCTTTACTCACCTCTCCACCTTCGTGTTTCATCTGAACGACCCGAGGAGGACAGAACGCACGTCAGTCCCGGACTGAGCTGTCTTATGAACGAGGCTTAAATGTATCAAAAGGCTAGCTAAAAGTTAGGAAGTAGCAGAATGGTAGCTAAAAGCTAAAAGTACCACATGGAGATAAAATTATTCAAGGAACTGAAGAAATCTGAATACAAGTTTTATGAGGAAAATGTTAATAAAGGTAGATATTTTGAAAAGTATAAAAGCTACATAACAAAGTCGTAACCCCCGTTTTCTGAATGAGCTGAATGTTCTGATGTTAATTAGTAAATTAGATTGCAAAAGCTGTTTAGAAAATAACAAAATGTTAATTTACAGCTACAACATCAACTCATCCCTACAAAGGTAATCATARCTTTTAGAGCTAGTTCAGGCATAATATACCACCTTAAAAAAAAAGAAAAGCAGAGCTTGTSTTTGGTGCCGTCAGCTTGTCCTGCATCTTCTTAGTTTGCCTTTAGGATTATGACGTTTATCTGACGACAGCAGCAAACAGTAAAACCGTCCAGCGTGCACGATCAGCATCATCATAAGCTCCGATCAGAAATGGGGCCAAATCTGGATGACTCGGATTTTGTAGCTTTTTGTTTTAAGCAGGTCGCAGATATTTTCTGCTCGTGTAGGCTCAAACCCCTGCAGTGTTTTCCTCGCAGCATCACAAAGACRGTTCTCTGCACTCCTACAGGGTGACAGTGGGTGCTTCTGCAAAAAGCTGTAGGTTGCGTTTTAATGCTAAAGTCAGCGATTGTTTAAAGTCTGCGCCATCTAGTGGCCGTGTGAAGTCACCACTCAGATGTAAATATTTCACCTGAAAATAACAAAATTCCAATTGATAATGCAAATCACTGCCCAGAGTGTACGTTTATTTTACCTGTAATTCACAATAAACTATGTTTTAAACATATTTTTAATCATCTTATGCAATTTTTTTTCCTCATAAACGTGTTCCTGCAGGGTGGTGAATATGGCACAGATGAGGAGGAAGATGAGGACGAGGAGGCCAGTCCGCCGTATCCCAGCGCCATCGAGGTGTTTGACCTGGCAGAGAACGAGGACATGTCCCCTCTGGAGACGGACCCCGAGAAACTTGCCCACAAATACAAAGAGGTGAGACGTGAATTTATCAGACTGGAGCATTTTAATCTGGTTTCCTCTGATGTCATTAACACAAACATATATATATTTATTTTTTATCGTAAAGCTCCAAATAAAACACGCTGTGACCCAGGCTGAGATCCAGCAGCTGAAAAGAAAGGTGAGGCTGAGAACGTATAAATCATTTCAAAGGTTCTTTTGCATTTTGACCAAAGGTAAACAGGAAGAACTTGAAAGCTGAGTCAGCATTATTTTTTTCTGCAACAGCTTCAGCAAACGTTCAGCTTTTGTTTTCATACGTCAACATCTTCAGCTTGCTCACAACATAACAGCTAAGAGTTATAGTTGTAGCTTTTATTCTTTAATATTTAACTTTATTTGAATTTTCTTTCTTTCAAGATCTAAAAAACTTTGTTCTGTTTCAAATCTACTTCAGCATAGCTGTTTTATATACGGTAATAACAATATATTTATATTGTATAAAAATAAATAAATAAAATAAAAATATTTAGCTTTTAGCTACTGTTGTGCTAATTTAGATTTTAGATAATTTTCTGCTAATTTTACCTTTAATCTACTTTCTGTTAATATTTTGTCTTTTAGTTTGTTTTACTAGTTTTAGCTACTCTTTTACTAGTTGTAGTTTTTAGCTACTGTTTTGCTAATTTGATCTTTTAGCCACTGTTGAACTAACTTTTTAGTTTTTTAGCAATTGTTCAATTAATTTGAACTTTTAGCTACTTTTCTGCAAACTCAAGATTTTAACTACTATTAAGCTAATATAATCTTTAAGCTACTTTTCTGTTAAGTTTTGCTTACTTTAGTTCTTTAGTTTCTTTGGTAGGCCAGGGTCATTGCTTCTGTTTTTACTAGTTTTAACTTTTTGTTAATCTTTTACTAGTGCTAGCTTTTAGCTACTGTTCTGCTAATTAAAGGTTTTAGCTACTATTTAACTAATATTGCCTTTTAAGCTACTTTTCTGTTAATTTTTACTTACTTTAGTGTTTTGATTTTTTTGGTAGGCCAATTATTATCTTTAAGGTGCTATTCTGTTAGTTTTTGCTTACTTTGGTTTTTTCTTATTAGTTTTAGCTTTTAGCTATTGCTTTGCTAATTTTAGCTTTTAGCTACCATTCTATTATTACCTTTAAGTTACTGTTTTGGTAAATTTATCATACTTTTAGTTTTTAGTTTATGTTTTAGTAGTTTTGGCTTTTAACTACAGTTTGACTAATTTGAGCTTTTATTAATTGATCTGCTAATTATAGCTTTAGCATCCTGATTTTCTGATTTTATTCTTTAGCTACTCTCTGTCTGAATATAGCTTTTGGTTTTGCTTATTTTAGTTAGTATTTTTTCCACAGATTTAAGCTTTGCTCTGGTTGTTTTATCTGAAAATTTCAGTTTCAGCCACTTTAACAAACGTCAGTGAAGTCATTCGGTTAGATGTGTGTTTAAGTTGTTTGTTCGTCTCTCCAGCTGCACCACGCGGAGCAGGAGAAGCAGCGCTGGCGGATGGACAAAGCCCAGCTGGAGCAGACGCTGCAGGAGAACAAGGAGCGGATGGAGAAACTGGAGGGCTACTGGATGGAAGCTCAGAGTCTGTGCCAGGCCGTGGATGAGCACCTGAAGGAGACCCAGGCCCAGTATCAGGCCCTGGAGCGCAAATACAGCAAAGCCAAACGGCTCATCAAGGAGTATCAGCAGAAGTACGAGGGTCTGACTGCAGATGGTAAAAACTGAGAGGTGAACACGTGTTGATGTTTGGGTTTTATTTCCTTTAACAGGGAGATCGAGTACCTGAAGAAGGAGACTCAGCGTTGTGCACAAGTTGGAGCTGAGGCCTCCATTTTGAAGGAGGAGTCAGGACAACTGCAGGAACAGGTAGAGGAGGTGATTCAACATCTGTAAACTTTCAACAAAGACTAACATCAATGATGGGGTCGTGAATTCTTTTCAAAGTGATGCCTTTAAAAGCACTTTACCAACAAACATGGCTGCTAGGTGTAGTGCTCTGCCTATTTTCAGTTATTTTGGCTGTTTTTGTAGGTAAACAAACAGACATMTTAACCATCTGTTTTGCTTCTTACTTCATGAATGTTTTTGTACTTTTTGGTCTGGTTTTGTGATAACCTTTGTTTGTTTGTTTGTTTTTTATTCCTAGGTGGCCGATCTGGAGTGCCGGGTGGAGGAGCTGAAGTCTGAACCTTTATAAAAGGCTTTTTTTTTTCTCTCCGTTCTGTGTGAAACTTTCAGCCGATGAAGCGGTGTGTCGTCGTGCTGAGCTGCAGGGTATTTGTCTCCAACTCGAGCGTGGTCATATACTCTGTCCTTTCTGGCCTTGTGTTTCAACCATTTTTAACCTCGTTCTTTCCGTTAACGCCGACCGAAGGAGGATGTTTAAACTTCTTGAAGACAAAAATGTCGACCTCTAAATGTATCATTCCTTTTTAATTCCCAGTATTTTTTTTCCTTTTTAATTTGTTATCCTGTGCAGCTTTTAATTGCCAAAAACAAGTTTTTTTTTGCATCGTTTTGTGACTTTTTCCCGCCGTTTTTTTGTACAGATGTGATACCGTGTGTTTTAACAATCACTTTGATTTGTAAAAAAAACAGAAAAAAATGTATGTGTATAACATTTAACAATGTAAACGAAGGTTGTTGTATATTTTACGCGACGAGGACGGACATTGCACTGAAGAAGACATCGTTGTGGAGTGGGGGAAAAAAAAGGCGGGAAGGAGCGACGTCTTCAAAATGGTAGAAACCGTATCCCAACCTCTGTAGGGGTCTCGTCACATAATCTTAAGAACCACTTGCTGCCTACCTTTCAGAAGTGTTTGTGCATTTTTTTTTTATTTACACTAAACCTCATCAAGTGATCAACCCTCTGGTTTCACCCTCGCGGACCTAAACCAACCTCCACTACTTCTGTGCCACAAAACGCCGAATTCTCCCTTCAAATGGATGTTGTCAAAGACTTGTAGTAACCCGAGTTACTTAGGAGTACGGATAGATGAAACATTTACAGGACTGCGCCGTTTCTAGAAGCCAGCAGCAACGTTTTACGTCTCGAACCAGCAGCTGCACTTTGACACCGCCGTGTGTAGCACATGGACTAAAGAAAACCACTGCCAGGTTTCTTACCTGTTTTGTTTGAAATGAGTCTTACTCGTGTCACCTGTCATGCCAGTTTGTTTGTATAGTACAGGTCGGACTTAAATATTTTCGATTTACGTAATATTTATAATATAGTCGAGGTGGAAAAGTGAGCTAAAAACCTGACGAGGGCGAAAAGTAATCAAAAAGACAAAGCAGTACTGTCATGTTTAAAAAAAATGCAAAATGTAGTAGATCTGAGTGACTGAAAATAAAATCTAGGATTACATGAATTTAAAAAAAAAACAGGCATGGTTATGACTATTTTCATAAGTATTAAGGCTTGTACAGTGCACACGCTTTGCATTGTATGGGTGTATGTTTTGTGGAATAAATGGTCAACAGTGATGGTCAACTTGGTTGTTTTATTTATTTCAAAGCAAGATTCATTTTGAAATCAAATGAATGTGCATTAATGTGCAAAAACACTGCAATTTCTTACGCTTAAAGGTATCTTGATAAATATTTTTCTTGGCTTTCGGTAAGGTCTTCATCTTTTTTTTCTTTAGACTTTGGCTGCTTTAGCAGTTTTTTTTGTCCAGTCCTTGGATGACCTGATGCTTCAGTTGGTGACAAAACTCCAAAACTTTCCTGCTTCCGACTACACACAAACGATTATTTTAATAATCGATTAATCACCAATTATTTATTCGATTAGTCGACTAATCGGATCATACGTTAATTGAATATA